CAGTCTTCACAACTCCTCTTCAGGTAAATCACCCATTTAATCATCTTCACTAATAGTTTTGTACTACCTGCATATATTGGTGAGATACAGAAAAGAAATAGAAAAATATTTTATATGTATTTCTTTTTTTCAGGAGCTAATATCAGACTTAGCAAAGTATCAGGAAATGATTGAAACGACAGTTGACATGGAACAAGCAAATCAGGGAGAATATGTTATCAAACCTGACTTTGATGAGACACTAGCAGGTAATCTTCCTATTTTTCAAAGAATAGGATTTTTCCATATTTTAACTTTTACAGGTATCTTGTTTGTTGCTAGGTTGGTTTGATTTCATTCGGCCACTTATTCTTATTATTACTTGGAAAATTAGACCAGAGCATATAATACCTGAATGAAATGTAAGAAATTTTTAGAACTACAGCTTAAACTTCTGGAGCCCTTTCTGTTGTGTTAGTGCAGAAATATGCATAAAGAAGTCAATATTATCACCTGTTTTATTTCTCAAACAGAATTAAGAGAAACCATGAATGGATTAGAAAAGGATATCCAGAACCAGTTGAGGAAGGCAGCCAACGACCTCTGTCTCGAAGCAGGGAAGAGCATAAAGCTGGAGTCCAATGCGCAGCTTGGCTTTTACTTCAGAGTGACATTAAAGGTAATTGGCAAAAATTAAAGAGATTAGAATACACACATATACATATACATATATATATTATATAATATTTTCAACACTATGTAGATGACTTAATTGAGGGCTCATTAGTACAATTGCTAGTTCATTTAGTGTTAAAAGACTTGGCATGCTTGAGTCTTCTGAATTGTCAAATAAGATCTGCAAGGTATATCAGTTTCTAATGAGGAAGATGATGAAGAATCAACATTTTTGTAGGATACTTAAAATTTCATGCTTTATTACTAGTGTATTGACTATTTAACCCCTACAATCCAAATGATGTCATCACATTGTGAAAAGATTTGGCTTGAGGCGCAGGTGACATGAACATGACATCATAGGGGAAATTTGGCTGATGGACAGGATGACAGGAACTTGCAGTCATCATAAATTTAGCTGAAGGCCAGGGTGACATGAAGGACTTGCCACAATTGCAGAAATCTGTAGGAGGGTAATTAGACACAATGGGCATTTGGGAAGGGCCTTTAGCAGTATTTCCACCAATAAACAACTGTGGAAACTACCATCCGAGAGCCATGACTGTAAGAGAGCCGGCACCAGGGAGGAAACATTTCCATGCTTAGGATCCTATTCCTGCCTGTTGTGACAGGGGTACAGGTTTTATTAATGGGTGCAAGTTTTTCTGTTTCTGAGACAGGATGCACTATTAGTGTCATATTTATACAAAAATAAGGACAAATTCATTCATTTTCCTTTCGTTGGACTGGAGTGTGCTATGTTTGTGTATTTAATTCCACAAAAAAGAAAATGACAACAGGAATTTTCTGTAACAGTATACCATTGTCCCTGAATTTCTGCTGTGGAGCAAGCTCATTTTTCAGTTTATCATTTCAAATGGTTCACCAGCTTAAATTTTCTTACAGGAAGAGAAAGTACTCCGAAATAATCGAAGCTACCATATGATTGATACAAACAAAGCAGGTGTGAGATTTAGAAATAATGCCCTTCAGGACTTGAACGAACAGCATATGGCATCAAAGGAAGAATATGCACAGCAGCAAAAAACGGTTGTTGAAGAAATTATGAATATCGCAGGTTTGTTGCTCATATAACGGAAATACGTATTGATAATTGATCTGGGTGGGAAAATGCTTGCATATATCCAAGTAGCATAGATATACACTGGTACACACTTTAAAAGGTGACAGACATGTATGAATGCATGCCATATGATAATTATTTTCTCTTCTGTTTCACTTACAGTTGGCTATGTGGAAGTAATGCAAAACTTGGGACAGGTGCTTGCAACATTAGACTGCATTTTTGCCCTTGCAACTGCAGCAGTCTCTGCACCCATTCCCTATGTACGGCCAAAACTTTTGGAACAAGGATCAGGTGTCATAAAGTTACAGGAGATCCGTCATCCTTGCTTGGAGCTTCAGGATGATGTTTCATTTATTCCAAATGATTGCACATTTGACAAAGGTTTGACATGCAGTTTTGATGGTGTATGATTGTTCAAGCACCTTGCTGTCTTATGATCTATATATAGTGTCTAGTGAGAATAGATATTTTTTTCTCAGTTTCCATAATGTGCCATTAAAATGTTTCAGGTAATGGATTGTTCCATATCATCACTGGACCCAACATGGGAGGTAAAAGCACGTATCTACGCTCTGTGGGTGCTGCAGTCTTAATGGCTCAGATTGGGTCTTTTGTTGCTTGTCAGGAAGCAGAAATCTCCATTGTAGATAGTATTCTTGGTAAGTAAATGTCAACATACGAAATGGATGTATGTTGATGTTATTCCACAGGAAAATATATAAATAAATTTTCAGATAACAAAAAATAAAGTCACCTTAATGATATCTTAGTTTTGCATGAATTTTTGTCTCAAGAATGTAAGTATTTCTCTCTTACAGCTCGGGTTGGTGCAGGAGATTGTCAGCTTAAGGGTGTGTCAACATTTATGGCAGAGATGCTTGAGACCGCAACTATTTTAAGAGTAAGAAAACCTTAGTCTCTTCTTTTATGTGATTTTTTCAGTTGGCATTGTGAATTTGTCAATCATTTCTCAATTAATGTTTGCTGATCTTATAATTTGTTATTTTCAGTCTGCTAGCAACAAATCACTGATCATCATTGATGAACTGGGACGTGGTACATCAACTTATGATGGCTTTGGGCTAGCATGGGCTATATCAGAGTAAATATACTTTGGTTTTGTAACATTAGAATAAATTTATGAACCAAAATTATACCTTTTAATTTTTGGTGAGTGGATAAAACCTTCTTGAAAAGTAAAGTTAGAATAAGTGAACTTGCATGTAATAATATATGAATATATTGAATCCTATATCCATATCACTACATAATTTTGGCAAATGATTTTCTCAGGCATATTGCAAAGGAGATTGCAGCATTCTGCCTCTTTGCTACACATTTCCACGAGCTCACAGCTTTGGCAGATGAAGTGGATACTGTTCAGAATTACCATGTGACAGCCACAACTGCACATGGTGCCTTAACACTTTTGTACCAGGTAAGCCCATATCCATTTTGAGTCATACAGGAGTAATGACTGATGCAGTAATTTAACATTTTAATTAAGTTAATGATATTGAATCACCTTTTTATTCCATCTAATGAAGTGCAACAAAGCTACACAGATCCATCCCCCTCCCCCCCTTCTTCTCTGGTCTCATCGCTCTCTTCTGTTTTTTTCTATTTTCTTTTTCTTGTATGATATCACCTGTATATGCCTTATTCCTTATATTATCCAGTTCTTGTAATATTCAAATTGTAGCAACTGATTACTTATGCTCATTTGGTACCAAGACTGTCTTACTAAATATATTGTATGTATATTGTTTTCTTATTATTTTCATATTGTTTAGGTAAGAGCTGGACCTTGCGATCGTAGTTTTGGAATCCATGTTGCAGAGCTCGCCAACTTCCCATCAAGTGTGATTGAGGTTAGTACAAACAGTGTAACTTACTTTCTTGTATTTAATTTTATTAGAAATTTTCAGTGTTCAGGATCCATTTGAGAAAAGAACTATACTGAACAGAAGTATTTTTTCCCGACTCTTACGTAATGTCTATAATTTCAGCATGCTAAAAGAAAAGCTGGGGAACTAGAAGATGACTTTGGCAATGATGATGATGATTCAGAGGAAGCAGTCAAAAAGAGGAAATTGGAGAAACAAGTAAGTAACAAGGATCTTTTTATCCAGTTTTATTGTGTTGTAGAATCCCATCATTATCTCGGCAACCTCTTTGTTATAATTCTTTATAAATGTAACTAACTCTTTACTTTTTATATTGCAGGAAGGGGAAAAGCTGATTGAGGAGTTCCTCTCCAAGGCGGCCTCACTAGATATTGATAATATGAATGAGCAAGACCTTGAGACAGAGATCAACAAATTACGCAATGAAGTCAAGGGAAAAAACAATGCCTATGTATCCCGGTTGCTGTCACGGGAGACATAAGGATGTAACCAGCAGATATAATTTTATAGATAATAACTGAATTTCATTCAACATTATTGCATGTTTTCGGAGTGAATTTTAGTGATGATCTCCAGATATGAAGTTTGCACATGGCATGAATGTTGAATTATCCTTTTATCTTTTTTATTCATTTTCTTTATTTTTCAAATAAAATTTAGTAAATTACCTTTATCTTTTCCTTTACCATTATTGCCACGTAGGAAGTAATTTCCAATAAAGTTATTCCTTCTCTAATTTTACCCCTGTAAGCAAACCAAGGCAAAGTAGTAATAATTTGGGCAATTTAAGATGTAAAAATATGTATCCCATACACCACATTGTAATTATCTATAAATAACTAATGAAAAATTAAGCAAATCTAAGACTATCCCTGAAGCAATCTAGGCTTCATTTTGCATGTGTGACTATCTACTATAAAATGAGGAGGACTGTCCAGTACATACAAACACACCTTTTCAACAAGAACATATGGGCAACTTGGGTGAAAATTAGTGAGAACATGATAGCTGCTGTTATAGGTGTTAAATATATTTAACATGACATATCTCTGTTTTGCTTTCATTATAAAATCCTGATTTGTCTTTTTTTAAATCCGGTTGCTCTTTCCAAACCATTTTGTGGTAGATCATGTATGTCCCAAACTTTTTCCATTTTGACAAAAGACATAATTAACAATACTTTAACTTCCAGCTTGTAGCACAAATATGTAATAATAACCACATTACAAGAGCACAAAACATTCAATACACATTAGAGGTTGCCATCACCCTCTACACTCGAAGGATAAATATGAATAATACCTTGCATATTAGGCAAATGTATCATTTTCAGGTAATAAAAAGAAAGTATTATTTAAAAATATATATTCATCTATTATTTACAACTACAATTTCTAAATACACTGTCTCTTTGGTATACTTTTAGCAGTTATACTTTTGATGTATGGAAAGTATGTCACAATGAGAACACAACTAAAAATTAGATTTGTGTAGCATATCACAGTGGTTAATATAAAACTGATACTTTAGTTATTTTTTTAACCCAAGTAAATACCATATATCTACATGAAAGGTTTGGATGTGTGGGAGACATCTGTTTGACCCACCAATATTACACCTTCAGCTGATGTTCCCAGGGTGATGTTTGGGTCTGCTTGTGCAGTAACAGGCAGGAGATAACTTAATTGAAGTGCTGGTGTTGCTCCACTCATTCCCAAGCATCCAGGCGCTGCAGCTTTTCAAGATAAATTACAAATTATTCAGCCGACTATTGTTTCAGCATTTCATTAATATATATACTTTTTCAAAATATGTTGATATGTTTATGGCCGTACTAATACAAATTACAGGCTAAGATTTAGGGACATTATATGAAATTTGTAGTTATATTTTCCCTCTCTTGACAAAACATTTAATCTGAATGAACTATATAAAGCAGCAATTATTGCTGAATACAAACAGCCATCTCAGATTACATACATAAAGGAAATACTTACGCTGTATTGTCTGAGCAGGAATGGTGGTGGTAGTGTAGGTTCTGTGGGATGATCCCAAATCTCGCCCACTTGCAGGATCTACTTCCCCACCAGCACAACTTACAATTTGTCCTGTGCTGCTTACTAGCAAGGATCCACTATCACCTCGTGCCTCATAGCTATGATCTGCCCAAACCTTTTGGTACAAATAAGGGAAAGAGTTATATAAATGGTCAATTGTATGCTGTGAAATAAAAAATCTCATTATTGCACATTTGTTAGTTATTTCGTACCTGCAGCTTTGATGCATCTGGTCCCACTTTGACTTTGACATCATCTAAGTTAGACATTTGAGGTGTTTCTGAAATGTCTGATGATGTCTCTGATGCACTTTTTACAGTTGAGGAACTGGATCTAGCCATACTGTTTCCTTTTGCTCTCTTAGCCTTTCCTAAAATAAAAGGCAATAATTTTCGTACATGCTGATTTTTTCCCCCATAGCAAAAATAATTAACCCAAACTTGGTTTTTCAATCTAGAATTCTTCTCTATATATGTGGCCCCCTAAAAACAGAATATTCCAAGTATGCCACCTATAGATACTGCATCTACTGTAGTATCTATGAAAATGTTTGGCTGCAACAGATATCTGAAAAGGTGACCTTAGTTGCCTAAATGGCCTTCTCTATGTTTTAAGTATGATCCATATTGATTATAAGGTTTATAAGGGGAAATCACTGAAATCAGGAGCAATGCATGTTTTGTATGTTTGTTTTTTCTTTCTTTCAGAATTATTAAGTTTTACTGCTACTTACGATGTCTAGAACATCAAAAGTAGTTTAAGCAAAATAAAAAAAGGAATCTTTATACTGGAATCATATAAATACAACAATACCCTAGACCTGTGCACTCTATACCACCTCACACAGCAACTCTGTTGGACTTATCATGCTACTTACCAGAACTTGGAGCTGTGGATTCTGAAACAACACCACCTTTCTGATCCTCTAGTTTGTGCATTTTTTGAAGATGAGTCTGAAAAACATGCAAAACAGTAGTTTCAGAAAATTATGCAGTGTCACCTGAGAATTTTTTTTGAAATAATACTTGTATCATAGCAAATATCAGATATGAAAGAACTATAAAATAAATGAATGATCTTATAAACAAAGTTTTCCACTTATGTACTATCTTGTACTATTGCCAAAGTAAGAGCTTCAAGTTCATAGAACTGTTAATGAGCTGTCTTCCTCATCTGAACTTTATATCATTTATTTAATACTCTGGAGGTAGACATAACAAACCTGTAAATTGTCTTTTCTTCTGCATGTGTAACCACATTTGTGACACATGAATGGCTTGACATTATTATGTTTATACATATGATCTCGTAGACGCTTGCTGTCTGCATACTGTTGGCCACACTGTTCACATTCATAGGGTTTTTCACCTGTGTGGCTACGGCGATGACGCCAAAGGCTACTTAGTGTTAAGGCACTGAAAGAAAGATTAGAGAAATTTTGATTCAATAAAGTAAAAAGATCACTAAATAATAACTCAATAAATCTGTTAACTGGACATATCAACATAAAATTTAAAATATTACATCACTTGACATTTTGCACTTACTGGAAACCACAAGTTTCACAGATATAGGGGCGCTCCTTTGTGTGTGTCCTTATATGTTTGGCCAAAGCTGTCTTTTCTGTTGTAGCATAAGTACAATGGTCACACTTGAAGGGCTTATCAACGGTGTGACGACGGACCTGGACGAGCAATTTCAAGGTGAGTTTCCAGAAAATAATTACATTCTTAAACAAAAACAGTGTGTGGCTTCTATCCTCCCTAACCACAATAGAATAATAACTAGATCCTTTCTCACTTTAAAAACTTTGGGATGATTCCCAGGCATAAATACAACAAAGTTATCAGGCTACTTGAACATTCACAGGAAAATGAATTATTTCACAATGAAGCAAAAGAAAGACAGGAAAAGAAGACTTACAATATGAGCTTTTAGTTTGTATTCTGCAAGAGTGGAAAAGGCACAGTAGGGACAAGTAAGCGCTTCGGTGAGAGGCTGCCCATCAGCATCCCTTTGATGTTTGGAGGCCATGTGCTTAATAAGATTAAATTTCTGGCTGTACATCACTGGACAGGAGTCACACTGTAAAAGATCATGGAAGCCTTGATTTCACCGATATTAATAATAAATGAATGCTTTCATTTTCATCATTATCCTTTTGATATCAAAAACCTAATTAAATATTTGATTGTTATGAAGAAAAGACAGCACAATGTAATCCTTAAATATTAGATATTAGATATTTCAACATTCTTATAAATCTATATCTCAGAACCGAGAATAAATCCTTTATACACGACCAAAAATAAAAATAAAAGATTGAGAAACTACCTTGTACATAACCTCTTCCCCGAGATGTACCCGGAGATGGGTTTTAATTGTGGCGCGTGTCTTGAACTTCTTGCTGCATATTGCGCATATGTTGTTGTCTTTTGTTATGTGGGAGGAGGCATGTTTAACCAGTGTTCTTTGCAGGGGGCTATTAAAATCACACAGCTGACCTAGATAAAACAGGAAAAAATTGTGTAGTACAACATATAACAAGTACCATAGCACACATGAGTATATTATGAAATTATATGTATACATCTGTGTGTGTGTGTGTGTGTGTGTGTGTGTGTGTGTGTGTGTGTGTGTGTGTGTGTGTGTGTGTGTGTGCGTGTGTGTGTGTGCGTGTGCGTGTGTGTGTGTGCGTGTGTGTGTGTGTGTGTGTTGTGATGTGGTGTGTGTGGTGTTGTGTATATGTGGTGTGCACAAGTAAAAATAGTAAACTGAAATTCATGACAGCGACTGAGTTCCAGGAGATGCATGAGGGCACAGTGAGAGCATTCATGACTATCATCTTCCTCACTTTCAGCAGGATATTCTGGTATCTGATCTGGGCTTGATGGTGTGATACTGACAGGGCTTGCACATGTGTTTGTGGTTTCAGAAGATTCTTTAATGGTAGCAGAGGTGACAGAAGTTACGGTAGCAGTAGTAAGGCTACTGGTAGGTGTGACCATAGTAGTAGTTTCTGTTGATGAACACCTTGTAGAAAGGATAATGGAAGATGATGTACAAGGAATGTCATTTTCTTGTGATGGTGATGTGGATGTCATAGTACTATGACAGTTTGATCTGGAACTGGAAGACAGGGACACACTAGACGAGTCTACCATTGAAGCAGTTGTATAGGAGAGTTCAGGAGAATCTGACCATGTCGTTACACAGGAGGAGCTGCTGGGAGCCGTTGAATTTGAACTTGAAAAGATTAATTCTGATACTCCTGATCCATGATCCACAGTGGATGCACTGGAAGACAGAGTAGGAGGAGGAACTGCTGGGATGGTAGGTTGAATAACTACTGGACTGATATTGGGATTGGGTTGGGTAAGTATAGGTGTACTGATGACTGATGGAGCTGCTAGGACTGGGGCTGAAATGGGTGGCTGTGTTAGAAGGATGTTACTAGCAATGGTTGACTGTATGATTAGGGGAGTGGAAATACCAGAGTGTGAAATTCCTGAAGGATTAAGATCTGGAGTTGAAGATACAGATGAATGGGACACAAGAGGAACTGGAGTGAAAGATGATGTGACAAGTGAAGAAGGTGAAGAGACCCCAGAATGTGAGGTAACAGCTGAACTTGTTCTTGCAATAGTGGGAGATGTTGAAGCAATAGCAGTCTGTGTGGTGGGAAGGACAGTTGCCACTGAGCCTTGTGTCTGAACATGCACAGGAAGAAGAGATGACTGGCTGCTAACTGAGCTAGAAGTTCCTGTATAAGGTGCATTTGGAGAATATGATACTGATACTTCAGAGTCCAGAGACTGTGCTGAAAGTACCTGCATAGGGATAGTAGACAATGCTTGATGTGGCTGTGTTACATCAGACTGATTTAGGACAGTTGTGGAAAGAAGGGAGGGTTGGATATATGGAGTAAAGGGTAATGATGGCTGTGTTAGCAAGGAAGCTGCATTTGGAATTGAAGAATGACCAAGTAATGTGCCAGGATTGGAGACTGAGGAATGTGTTAGGACAGGTATAGTGCTGGCACATGAAGCCTGACTAATAATGGGGGATGCCATGGTAACAGTTGCTAATGGAGGAATTGTAGCTTGACTAGTTAGTGATGAAGAGTCCACATGAATTGTTGAAGTGTGATCATGAGATATGTCTTGTGAGGAGTGTGGTAGAGAAAGTTGTGGATGTACTGTGTTGATGTTGGTTGCTTGCTGAACAAGAGGAATTCCTCCCGCACTCTCTGGCACCACCACCATCCAACTCTCCTTGGCATCACTGATGTTTGCTTCTTCCCCTGGGCTGTGGATAAAAAGAAACATTTCTAATCAAGACACTTCAAAACAATAGTTTTACAAATACATCTCACCTTTCCAATGAAACCTCTCTTATAAACAAGTATGAAATAAAGGCAGGAAAAATCATGGTGCTCATACAGTACCTTATAAAATATATAACATGTTATTAAAAAATATCAGTAGCATCCACAATTAGAATTGCAGCTGGGTACACAATAGTATAAGATTGGAAGTCAAAATGTTCTGGCTGGGTGGTAACTTTACCACTTCTGAATATAATTTACAGTTTCATCAAACTAATGAATACTTAAATTTGGTACCACAAACTAAAATTCACTTCAGACTTCATAATATGCATATTATGTATAGCTATATTGGTTCAAACATTGTTCATGAACAGACAAAATATATCCTTACTAGCCATGTTAAAGAAGACAAATTAAGGAAAATGAGAACTTCACTATCAATATACATATGGAGCACCAATACTTTTTTCTTAATTCAAAGGCTTATGATTTATTTGTTTTTTGGCAGCTATTCCTCTTGGCATGCCATATGACTATGTAAACTATAAATTATAAAACCACCAAACAAATACTTTATAGATCTTATTTCCTGAACAACAAGTACTCTTCCCCTTTCATGTTACTAAAGTTTATCCTTTAGTAACTGAATTTACCCAACCTTAAGCTACAACTGAGAATCAGATGCAGTACCTAGTTGCTTGAAGCGAAGGGCACACAGTTGACTGTCTCTGTGAAGTGTCTTGCAGAGATACACCACCAATGCTATCTTTAACTTTCAATCTAGCTCTGGACTCTGCTGAAGCCCTAAGAGACTTCCGAGATCGTATCCATCTTGGACTGACAGCCATCTTTGCATCTTCAGGCAGGAAAATACTGTCAACATCCACCACGGCCTGAGTAGGAGCTGTAATACCATATGAATTATGAATTCTCAAGCACTTCAGAAATGCAAATCCTTTTCTATTATATTTCTAATCTTATCTCCACAATTTATCAACTCATTTGCAGGTCATTAAAATCTTTAAATGTTTAAACCTGACTTAATTTGTCTTTCTTATAAATATCATTTCATATAGCACTAAAAAAAATCACAAAGTATTAATCTTACTCCCAGCTGCCTCTCCTGCTAGTGCTTCCAGCAACATAACAGTATTGTAAGCATCATCCGTGTCCCCCTCCAGAACACAACTGTTAGTTTGTCTTGGATCTCGCTGGCTTCGGTCATCTTTACCCACATTTACCATTCTGTTGTCATCATCTGAGGCATCAGGTTCACTAGTGAGGTTCAGAACGGCTCCACTATACACATCCCCATCAGACTTGCTGAAAACTTCACTGCATTCTGGTGGACGAGTCTTAAACACAAGAGAATTATCTTCTAGGACAGAACTTTCAAAAACTGAAGGAATATTATGCTTGACTTGATTACACTGAACAGCAAAAACATCTCCCTCTGCCCCTGGTGCTGTGCAGAGTTCACTGAAGGACATATTTGTGGATGACCCATGTGTACCAAGGTTTGTGTCCAGTTTCAAAGGCTCAGAATATTTAGGAGGATCTTGAAGAATATTCTGATCCTGTGGCTTCACAGTCAGCAGAGGTAGGGTAGTATGGTCAGCCAACCCACCACTGCTTTCCACAGTTCCTTCCAGTGTTACATGAGGACTCTCAGTCGGTACCTCTATCACATTTGGAGTTTCTGCTGCATAATGAATTTCACTAGGCGTCAGAAATTGAGACTCTAGGTCTGTCTGAAAACCAAACACTTGGAGAGAACGCACCAAAGCCAGAACATAGGGCAGGCGGTGGTGTGGCACCAACAATTCTCCACAGTACATGTATTCCACTACTGCTCGCAAGTCACCTGAAAACCAAAAATAATTTTAGGCGCAGAGTTGAAAAAATCCTAACCTAACTCATAAAAGCAGTAATCACTTTTCACCTGAAAATAACTGTTTTTCATTTTTTTGTCACATGTGTTGACTTTGAAACTAAAAGATTATCTGGTTATCTTCTAAAATTAAAAAGACAAATTAATAGGCTGCATTGGTTCCTACTCACATTCATAGTAAAGCAATATTTCAATAATAGCTAAAAAGTTCTGTTACAGACAAAAAAACACAAAATTTCAATTGCATTTTCCTTTATCTGATATTTTCTGACTTGCTTTAACCTTTTGGAACTGGAGATGGCAAGAGCATATAGCTTATGTCATGCTATTGTGAGTTTAGTTGATGAATTGTGTTTACACATAGATATCATTATAAGTGTCCCATCTAGAAAGTTTCTCTTTTCTTTTATTTCATATTACTATCAGTATCATTAATAACATTACAATAATTGTAATGTCAATAACAATAACAGCATCAATATCAATAGCATTAGAAAAAAAAATATCAAAAACTCACAGAAAGGGGAAATCACGTGAGCTCACATAGGCCTATTAAATGATCTTTTGGTGGCTT